TATGTAGAACACCTAAAGGATGCCTGGCATACAGCTGTCACTCCATAAATGTTAGCACTCCTCTCTCTCCCACATTCCATCCTGCTCCAAGGCACACACAGAGGAGTTGGATGCGTTCTACTGCCTTGGATTACACTCAAACCCTACTTGGCTTGGAAAAATGAGTAATTGCAAAAATTTGCTTATTTTCAAACATACGAAGAGTTTCTTTTTAAGAATAATGGCTCACATTTGAGCATTTATTATGTGCCAGGCACAAACTGGCTCACACGTCTTATTACATTTCATCCTCACATAACCCCATGAGGTGGTCCTGATTTTCAGAGGAACGAAGTTAGAATAACTTGCCCAAGATCCCAGGGATGGCCAAGAACAGAGCCAGGATCTGAACCTGGCAGGAGCAGACCCAAAGGTAATTAACAGAGGCCTTCGTCCCCTGAGTATCCCCCCCTGTGGCTCAGATGGTAAAGAATCCGCCTGCGATGCTGGAGACCTGGGTTCAGTCCCAGGGTCGGGAAGATCCCCTGGAGAAGGGAATGGCAACCCACTCCAGTACTCTTGCCTGGAGAATCCCAAGGACAGAGAAGTCTGGCAGGCTACAGTCCATGGGGTCACAAAGAGTCAGACATGACTTAGCAAACAACACCTTTCTGTCCCTTGTACCAGGGCCGGGCACAGGTTTCCTGTGACTTTTCGCCTGCTCCCACAGCCCTTCCTTTGAACTTGGGTTTTGTGAGGCTGAGTTTGTATTTTATTCATCTCTTCGTTTTCTTCAAAGTATTTTCTCTTTGGTTCTGGTAGATACGGATTGCAAGCAATAGAAGCGGGAGATGCAAATGAAAAAAATGGAGGATTTATCATAAGTGACAAGTCTTAGGGAGGTATTGACCAAGCTGGAGACCAGGTCAGCCCTGACCCTGGGTAGTCCAATTATGACAACACCATGCATTTTCCTCTTTCTGCATGTAGATTTATGGCCCCATTGATCGTAAATAGCTCTGGGTGGGAGGACAGATGCTTGCTTAAGGATATGTTCTCTTCTGGGAAAACACACACACACACACACACACACAACGATGTCAGATATCTGCTCGAGATAAAAATAATTTCCTTTTCTATTAAGAGGCTGGATCAAAGTTGGACAATCCCCAGCAAATAGGAACTTAGAGTTTGGCTTCCTATTTGCAAAACAGCAAGCATCTGTCACTCAACCTTCTGGAAGATTAAAATAAAAAGAATTGAAAAACTAGAGACAATGTCTAAGCTGTAAGAAAACTGGAATAAAAGTGAATGTAAATACTATATATACATATATGCATATAATAATTTGTACTTTTATTTATCTATTTTATTTAACATTTTTCAGGATATAATTAAGCAGATGGCAGCATTTGCATCAAGATAAATATTGTTCAGTGATGCATATTTCTGTATACAAAGTGTAATGCACTGCTCAAGCAAAATAAAACTCCATTGAGAGTGTGAGAAAAACGAACCATCAATAAAATACCCTCTGTTCTCTCTGGTCTCAAAATATTTGGATAGAAAGAAAAGCTACGCCTCTGAGGCTGTCAGAACCAGAGGCGATCTGGATACAGTGAACCAATTTTTCAAAGTCACTGGCAATATCTGAAAAAGTCCTGAGTTATCTGAGTAATGTGAAGTATGAGGAATTTCTGCCGAAAAATCAACATTTCAAAGGGGTCAGACAATACAGAAAGACCATTCTACTTTAAGAGTGTGTATGTGTGTGTGTCTGTGTATGTGTCAGGACAATAAAAAACTAAGTTTCTTAAGTGAAACTTGCTGAATCTAAGCTTATCTAAGGGCTCAAGCAATAATGTGAGGACTTCAGAGGATCACTGGAGGCAAGGGGAAAGAAAATAAACAATCATTACATTAACACACAGCTCCTTTCATGCTCCCCAAAATTGATTCAGAACCTGTAGTGTGATCTTTTTGACACTCTCCTCGACATTTTCCCTCCCTTTATAAGTGAGCTCATCCGTTTCTTACATTCTGAGATGACATTAAAACCCAGAGCATACTGGAGACCCCATGAAGGAATGAGTGCCACAGCCACGGAACTCAGCTGCCATCCGCCCAACAATTCTAATCTGTAAGAGCTTTGGGAGAGGCTGAGAGGCAAAGCCTGCAAATCTTCCAGAGAAATGCCCATCTCGCCACCACCCGCAAGCTCTCTGGCTCTGTCTGCTTGAGAAACTGGGTGTTTCTTCTTGACTCCTTAAAATGCACCAAAATGACAATCAGGCCCTTCCACTGGGATGCAGCTCCCCAAATGGAAAAAGTACAAATGCAGAAGCTCTGAAAAGGTGAGCACAAGGAAGCAGCGAAGTCTGGTTTAGAAAATACCCTGAACACAGTGTCGGCCTGACACTCTTTGAGACATACCCACCACCACCGCCAGTTCTGAGTCTCTCTGCACCCAAAACCACAACTGCCCACCCCACCTTCTTCAGAGCACAGAGATGAAGCATCATCTCCCGAGCATGCACCTCATCAGCTCTGGAAAATCACAGGGATTTTTTTTTTTAAGTCCCACTCCCCAATCTCCCTCTGAGGCATCATGCACCAGCAGCCTCTGCGGGGTCTGCAAACAGACCGCATGTTCTGAGGGCCTCAGTGGCCTGCCCAAATGCTCTGGTCCTCTCCTCCTAGGCTGCAATCTAGGCTCAGGCGAAGCTGGACTTTGGGAACAGCCTGCCCCCTTCTGGTCTCCTTGAGCTCCGTGGAAGGGCAGGGGCTGGGTGGGCACAGCTACAGGAGGATGGGCCCCTGGCTCCACCCTGCAGGTCTGCACTGTGATTTCAGGATCTGACAGGGCATGGGGGTAGACATCATCAGGGAAGGGGAGAGCAAGGACATGGACAAACAGATAAAATATCCAGTACAAACCCAGACGAGACGGCAGTGAACAACTGCATGGCAGACAGCCACAAAGAAGTGGGGAGGACAGGAAAAAGGAAAAAACAAAATACAGGTGTGTCTATATCGGAAGAAATTGAGACCCTGGGGGGTGTGTGTAGGGGGACAGTCACTGAACTTGCAGATGAGAGCAGGGTTTCAGAAAAGCAAAGCACCTCAGCTGCTGGCACTGGCATTTCAAAAGGAATAGAAAAGGAAGAGAGGCATGCTCCCTCCCACCTTCCCAACTGCTAACCTCAGCGCGGCCCCGCTGGAGGATGAGAGAAGAAGACACAGAACTGAACACCCAGAGAGCAGGTGTGGAGGTAGGACCCGAAATGTCAGAGACCCAGGAAGGAATCAGCCAAGCAGGCTTCCCTCCACTTGCTTCAACAGGTGGTAGTGCATGGGGAAAGGCACCTCCTGACGCCCATCTGGACCCCAGATGCAAAGGATACAGTTAGCCCTGTGCTTCCATGGCCATCCTACATGTTCCCACACCCGGCTAGCGGTGCATGTCCTGAACCTCCTCCCATCCCACTTCCCCGTAGGGCTCTGACTCCAGAAAGAACTTCTAATTTCATTTCTGCCCAAACACATCACTACCCACTCTTACAGTTCAAATGCAATGTCTGAGAGTACCCTTTGATACAAATAAGAGGCATTTGGAACGTTCTGGTTCTCCACCGGGACTCTGACTCCATCCTCCTCCCCGCAAACGGGGAAAAAGACTTCTCCCTGCTACCCACAGACCAGCCAGCAACGTGAAATGCCATCGCATCACACCTTGGGCTGGCTCAGCCCACAGACACAAAGAACCGCACTCTGGCAAAGAGGGTCGCCTCTCTGCCTCAAAAGAAGTTTGACAGATCAAAGGGCATCACACTGTGTCTGAAGGCAGCCTTCAGTGAAGGCTCCCAAAGTGACGGGTGACAGAGACATGCATTCAATACCTAAGAGCCTGAAATTACCCCCCTGGTGTCTAATGTCCCCAAGGGCTGGGAGAAGCTCTGTGGGCAAGCAGCAGGGATGAAAATACAGACACATTATGAAGATACACATCCGTAAACTTGAAGACAGACACGCCCACAGGGTGCTGAGACCCTGGCTCAAAGCTGGGGACTCTGACCTCTCCTGCGTGATCTGAGTTCAGTGGGCTGAGCAAGGCGGCCCAAAGAAGGTGTGAAAGGCCTCCCGGGAGAGGTCGGGGGCAGGGTAGGAGACACCCAGATGGCCCCAGAAGATCTGCAGAAGGAACAGTTTCAGAGCCTGGATTGTCCACAGCCAAAGAGGGCAAAGTAAACCCACAGAAGCCTAAGTTGAGGTGCTGTGATCTGATACACAGCTGGAGACAGGAATGAGCCCCAGACGAGACAGACAGCTGGACACAAACGCCTAGGAAAAGGGGCCATGCCCTGACACTGGAGACTGGGAACCAGGAGAGGGCAAGGCTAGACATGGACAAGGGAGGGACGGGAGTCTCAGGCATCCAGGGATGCAAAACAGGAGACTCAAAGTAAGACTGGGCACCGGAGACAGAGTCTTGACTCCGGGGCACGGGTGAGGACTTGGGACACTGATCCCAGACCCCTCTCAGGCCAGGCAAAGACAACGAACGAGGTAGCAGACGGAGGACTGAGTGCTGTGCACCCAGCCAGGCAAAAACCAGAGATGGGCTGAGCACCACCGCCGGAACAGCGGCTGCGGATCCCGGCACGGTCCAGGCACTCAGACTGGGAGCGAGGCAGCAACACCCACAAGCACAGAGCAAGTCGGGTCGCCCAGCGAGAGTGACGGGGGACAGGCATCCAGCCAGGCTCCGGTAACCCCCCACCCCCAGAGCGCCTCCTCTGGAGATAACTTCCCCAGACCCCCAGGGGGCAGTCCTCAGACTCGGGATAGGGCAGGGAACCAGCCCCGGCTTCCAGGGGAAAGAGATGTGGGGCAGCAGGCTTGGGGAGTCCCGATCTGATGAGCGGGGTTCAAGGGCTGGAGGTGGGGGGACGTGGGGTCCGGCCGCCTGCCCTCCGGTTTCCCTCCCTCCCTCCAGGACGCGAGCCGAAAGGGCATCTTACCAGCGCCCGTGAGGCCAGTGCCCCTCGGCTGGCCAGCTGCTGCGCGCGGGGTGCTCCGGGGCCGCCTCCCCGCGCTCGCGCCGGGGCCCCCCGTCCTCCTCCTCCGCCGCCGCCGCCTCCTCCTCGGGCTGCAGCCTGCTCGGCGGGCAGGTCCCGGCGCTCGCGGCGCGGGGCCGGGGCCGGGGGCGGCTGCTCCGCGCCGCCGGCCGCTGCGCCCCCGCGGCGCTCCCCGGCCCCGGAGTCGAGGCTGCTGAAATTCCACACGACCAGCGTCTGCAGCAGCAGCACAGTGAGCGCCGCGAGCAGCGCCGAGTGCGAGCGCCGGGCCAGCCTCCGGGCGCACGGCGCCGCCACCATCTTCGGAGAGCGGCGGGCGAGCGGGGCGCGGGGACCCCGGGCGCTCCGGGCCGCCCCCGCGCTCCCCGCGGCTCCCGCGGCCGCCGCCGCCGCCGCTCGGGCTCCCGCTCGGGCCGCCGCCGCCGCCTCGGCTCGCCGCTGCTCCTCCTCCGCCGCCGCCGCCGCCGCCGCTGCTGCCGCCGCCGCCTCCACCGCCGCGGCGCGGAGTTTTCAGACGGGCAGGGACCCGGACGTCACCAGGAGGAGGGGAAGGCGGGGAGGCGGGGAGCCGGAGGCCGCGGAGGGGGGCGGCGGGCGCGCGCGCTCGGGCGGGGCGCGCGGGGAGGGCGGGGGCCTTGCCCGCGGGGCTCGCCCGCCCCGCAGCCCCTTCCCCGGGCCCGGGGGTGCGGGGGCCGGGGGCACGGGGCCGGGGGAGACGTGGGCCCGGGCGGAGAGGGGCGAAGAGGGGCGAAGAGGGGCGAAGAGGGGCGGGCCTGGGGGCGGGGCGAGGGAGGGAAAAGAAGGAGGGAGAGGAAGGGGGCGGCGGCGAGCAGAGAGGGCCCCGGGTTCCCGGGACCCCGGCGGGAGTGGGTGGGCGATAGGGGGACAGTCCCTGCCCGCGGCCGAGGAGACGAGGCCGGGGGCATAAAAGGAAGAGGGAGCTTGGGGTGAGGGTGGGCCGGCTCAGAATCTAGGGGAGGTCGGGAGGCTCGGGGGTCCCGAGATCCAGCCTTCCATGTGGGAAGCAAGCGCGAGGCAGCTGAGTGGAGCGCGCTCCCCGCCCGGAGTTCGCGGTCCAGGAGTCTTCTCTGGGCAGAGACTGCTTGGCAGGTGGGGACGCGAGAAACGTGTCAGGAGTGTCTGAGCCAGGGAAAGGGCTCACGCGGCCGATCCCTGGATCCCTGGATCCCTGGCTGGAAGGGGAGGGGAGGAGGCTACACGGGAGTGTGCGTGACTCCTGAATCACACCCCGTCCCCTAGTGCCAAAGATGTTCTAAGTGCTTCACTGAGTCACTTCTCTGATCCCTGAGGACCAACAAGCCAGGAGACTTCCAAACCCAGCTGGCAAGCAAGTGCTTTCTTGCGGACAGAGAGACTCCGTGGAGTTCCTCAGCCCTCAGGCTGCAAGCCCCAAAGGCTGGTCCCTGCCTTCCACCAGGTCCTTCTCATTCACCCCGAAGCCCGCCTGCCTGCCTGCCCAAGGCTCACCTCCTAAGAGAACAAGTGGGTCTTGCGTTGAAAAGTCAAGTTCTTTCCTATCAAGGCTGGACTGTCCTGGTGACCTTGAGCCAGGATCTCCTCCCTGGGCCTGAGCATCCTCCTGTCAATGAGGGTTTAGGCTCACAGATCCCAATGGACTCAAGTTTCATCGTCAGCCATCTCTTACTCAGTCTTTCCAGTCTTTCCCTCCGGTGTCTTCTTGCCCAGCAGCCCTGAGCACGTGGTGAGTGCACAGAGTGGGTGTCCCGGATAAGACTCAGCACTATCCAAAAACCATAGCAGATCAACCCCCCAGCTTGTGAATCGGGGACTCAGGGTGAAGGCTTTGCATCTTATCCACTGTGTCCTTCAACCTGATCCTAACTTTAAAGGGAAGAAAGTGAAAGAATAATGAGAAGGAGGCAGGGAAGAGATTGTTTCACTTGCTCAACAACAGTGTCTGAACATCAAGGCAAAGGGCAGGAAATCCAAAGATGAGTGAGGCTTAACTTCCCCTTCAGCAAGCCAGGAGTCTCAAGAGCCAGATGTGCATGTTGGTCATTAACTAACAGTGAGGTCAGTGTTGCTTTGGAGATGTGCACGAAGTGCTCTGGGTTCATGAGGGTGCAGTGTGAGTGGCCTCTAAGAAGGTGCTTTCTGGATCCATGTAATAAGCAAACCCATTTCCCTGAACTGGCAGTGTAAAATGCCAGCTAGGGAGATCTAAACTCCAGACGAGGCTCAGTCTTCAGATTATCCAAGCCTGGCTGGGCATGTGGCCAAGCATAAAGGCCCCCCACCTTGGGCACAGCCCTTCTAACCAGGAGTGAGATGGAAGAGAGGCAAGCTCCTATGGTCACACCATGAATCTTCGGCCATCTATTTATCACCTGGGAATATTTTGGTTACAAGGAATAAAACATTTATTATGTCTTTAAAAATAGAGTTTACTGCATCATATAACCAAATGTTCCAGAGAAAAGACATCAGGTGAGGTTTGATCCAGCAACTCAGAACTATGTCCTGGGACTGCTTTTCTTTCCATCTCTCCTCTCTGCCTTTCATGAGGCCAGCTTCATCCTGAGTTTCTTTCTTCATGTCACAGCCTGGCATCAGTTGCTCAGACTAATTTTACCTTTTGTTCACTTTTAGCCCAAGAGAAGGAAGGTCAGGATTTTCCAGCATTCTCCTCAAAGGTCCAGATATTCTTTCTGATTGAGCCAGCTTCGGGTCACAGGTCACCCCTAAACCAAACACTGTGGCTGGAAAGATAGAATATGCTCATCAGCTTGGCCAAGGTCCCATACACCACCTCCAGCACTCGGGCAAAGCCAGCTTCGCTCCAACTACCCTATAGAATCTATAGAGATCAAGGTCTTACGGGAAGGTGGGAATAGGTGCAGGGAAGGTTGCTTCTACTCTGTGAAGTCACTGTGATGCTTACCTGACTTGGGCAAGCCACTTCTTTCCCAGGACTTCAGTTTCTTTAAAGCCAAATGAAGAATTCAGTGAGACGGTCCCCAAGATCATCATGTCATGTCCCCAGAACTCTTGCTTAGTATCTAAAGAGAGCTTCCCAACCCAGCCAGAACTGCCCTGGAGACACTTGACATCCCTGCCTTCTGGCCCATCTTTGCTTCAGTGGTTCTGCTGCATTTCTCCTCTAGGCAGCAATGATGTTATCTGCTTCCTCCACGTGGCACAGTTTAACCAAAGGACTGTTTAACCACAGTCCTTTGGGACCCACATTCTTGTTCAGCTCCCTCGAGAGCCGCTGGCTAGAGTGAGGTTAAGGATCCAGCCCCCTGGGTCCCTGGAAAAAGGGAGAGTTGTTTGTTTATTTCAACTCATAAGATGCCACCCCAAAAAGAGGTTTAAAAGCTCCGGCAGGTTATGGATGCCATAAACCGCTTATGTGAGGTTTTTAGGATGAAAAATCACCTGAGATAGAGGAATGGGAAAGCGGGATCCTAGGGACCATCTTCCTGCCCCAAGACAGATCAAGACAACAGTACCTCAAGCATCTTTGTGGGGCCCAAGTAATGCCTAAGTGTCTGGCAGCAGCAGACTTTCACAACAGCAGCAAGTTTCTTGAGAATTTTTAAAGCTCATTCAGTCATTCAACACAGATGTATTGGACCCTGTTATGTGCTAGGCATCATGCTGGGCAAGTGTGATATAGAAATGCGGAAGATTCCCTAAGGAATTTTTCTTTTTAAGTATGCTTCCTATAGCTTGCATTAACTGAGAGCCAGCGCTCTGAAGAAGTTTTCGCTGATTTGTGGGATTCCTTTCCCTACCCCATCCCTGAATCTTGTTTTATCACCACTTTTCAGTGAGGGGAGAGTAAATCAGTGAATCAGTAGTTCTGAGATCCTGGTTTGCTCAGCATGAGGCTAGGGGACGAGAGGGAAACTGGGGCAGGGCCTTTACCCTCAAGGAGCTGTCAAACGGATTGCCAGCTTTGCCGCTTTTCAGCTGAGACTTTCAGCATCAGTTGTTTTGCTTCTCTATGCCTCAGTTTTTCACCTGTAAAATGGGTGCATCTGTGCACACTCAGTCCTGTCTGACTCTTTGCGATCCCATGGACTGTAGTCTAACAGGTTCCTCTGTTCATTGAATTTTCCAGGCAAGAACACTGGAGTGGGTTGCCATTTCCTGCTCCAGGGGATCTTCCCAACCCAGGGATCAAATGCGAGTCTCCTGCATTGGCAGGTGGATTCTTTGCCACTATACTTACTACCTGGGAAGCTTTGTGAAATGGATGGGGTGGGATGATAATAGGGCTTTTCTCATAGATTTCTTATAAGGATTAAATGAGATAATGCATGTAAAGATTTATTTTTTTCTGTAGAGATTGGCACATAGTAAGTGCTCATTGAAGGTAAGATACGATTCATTTCATTTATAACAGTAGGGCAGTGTCTAAAGATATCAGAGGGAAAAAAGAGTAGTCAGGGAAAGCAACCTGGAAGAAGTGGCACTCAACCTAGTCCTTGATTTGGATGGAGGATTGCCAAGGCCTCCAAGGTTAGGGAACTGGCCTCATTCATCTCTGCTGTCTCTGGCACTTTCCATAGTGCAGGGTAGAGTCAACTTTGGTTGAACAATGAATCCCAATAACGGTCATGCTGCTGGAACGGGCCTGGTATGTTCCTCCAGCAGTAAGACAGCCACTGAGCAGAGCCTGGTACCTCAAGTTCACAGACCCCATCACAGCAACTTTTTAGTTGTAAGAGTTTAAGCAAGTTGTTTAGCATTACCAAGCCTCAGCATTTCCATGTGTAAAAGATGAAGAAGACTAATAGCCATGTCTTAAGGCTACTGAGTGGCACGGTGGTAAAGAATCTGCCTGGATTGCAGGAGACACAAAAGACTCCGGTTTGATCCCTGGGTCAGGAAGATCCCCTGGAGAAGAAAATGGAAACCCACTCCAGTATTGTTGCCTGGGAAATCCTATGGACAGAGGAGCCTGGCTCTCTATAGTCCAAGTGGTTGCAAAGAGTCGGACATGACTAAGCACGCACACACACAGACAAAAGCTACTAGAGGACAGAGGCAGGGGAGTGGCATAATACATTTCCTATAAGATGCTGGTACTGACCACTGGCAGAACTGAAGGACTGTTAGCAGGCTGGTCTATAGAGGAGATGCCCTCCCTTTCTCTCCAGTAGTTCTGACGGACGGTACCTGAGACTAGGGATTGACATGCCTTCTTCTAAATCTAAATAAACTTCAGCTGAATAATAAACTTAGTCAAATACACAATTTTTATTTTTGGAAACCTTAATCATGTGCCTGTTTCTTTTTGGTTTATTGCA